TTTCGTTTATTAAGAGTTTTTAATGTATTCTAATTTGCTTGATTTTTTTGGAGGAGTATATTTGTCTAAATCTAGCTGCACGTGTTGTAGAAAATGTGCATGATAGGGAATGAATTTTTGGATAGTTTGATACCTTGCTTTTCTCAATGTTTCTCTAAATAATTATATTATGCTTGGTGATTTATCCAGAACTTTAAGGTTGTGGTGATGACTTGATTTTGATAAAGTCACATTTGTATAGAATGGTTCACACGTCTGAATGGATGACTTGTTTTCAATTTTTTTTTAGTTGTGTACTTGTGTTGCGCTTTTAATGTTATCAACTGATGTCTTTGCAATCACTTGTAGGAGGCTTCCAAGGAACTTGATCAAATGAATGTTATATTTAAAGAAGACAATTCACTGGATCATCCTTCGGGAGAAAGTTATCTCAAGGAATTTATTGAAGTTCTATTGGAGCCAAAGTTTCTAGTACTTGAATCAGAATATCACTTATCAGAAAAATTGTTACTAGTATGTAATTTGTTCCTTAATCTCAATTTTTTTTCCCTTTCAATAACAAATAGCAAAAAAGCCTTGCTACTTTTACTTAAGCAATGGATCATTTATCATATTTTCTTAACCTTTTCTGCATGTGTTCTGGTTGTTTGACGCTTACTAAGTTTTTTTCTGATTAATAGGTGGAGCGGGATCTTAGTTTAGCCATAGAACTTATAAAACATACAACAACAATGATTAAGATATTGAAGTTAGGAGCATTGGACGAACAACAAATGTATGTTACCACATGGTCCAAGATGATCTCTGTTTGCAGTCAAGAGTTGAAGCATGGTTCCTTAATTTGGAAGCAGGCAATCGAGAAGAAAATTCAAAGTCAGATACTATCTGAATCTCAAGGTAAGGCGCTATTAATTACTTGTTATCATGTTAAGGCCACTGTTTGAGTATAAATATATTTTCTTCGTCACCAGTTTTATAAGTTTGAATAATATTATAATATGACTGGCAATGATAACGAAACACTTGCCTAAGTTTAAAAAGGTTCACCTTATAAGTATGCTTAATAAGTAAATAAGTTTTTAAAATATACAACATTTGTTATGAGTACCTAGAATAAAGGAAACTCGCTACTCACTGGTAAAAGGGAGAGAGAGGGGACCAATCAAAGTACCCACTGGTACCTGGATGCATTTGGACACTGCAGTGTCTGCCTTTGCAAAATTCCACTCCTTTATTCCTAGGCTCAGCACGGTTTTGATTAGGCAAGAGTTAATTTTTAAATTAGCAACTTTTTTTTATTTAGAGAAAGTAAAAAGTAAAACATCCCAACATGCTTGGAAACAAAAAGTTACTTAAAACGTTTACCTTTATCCTGTGGTTAGCCAAACATGCTAACTCTCTGCGTGTTTATTTTTATATTATGGTAATTGTATTCGTGATAACAATGCTAACAGGAAGGGAGTTTATATTAGCCCTTGGAGAGATTTACAGGGTAGTGGTGATACTTGAAGCTTCGGCGAAAATTTTCAAGCCTTGGACCATATCCTGTTGGTCAAACATCGATATTCTTCTAGAGGAATGTCATACTCTATGGTCAACTTCAGGATTTGAAGAAGCTCTTATGAGTGTGTCAGAATCGTCTTCATCAGATGATGCATCACTGATGAACTCCATCAAGTACACAAGTGGTCTTGATGCGTTTGCTCTTCAAAACTCTGTTTTCACACATGAATCTTTATGCCGGCTATCAATTTTATCTGTAGGAGCAGTACCAGGTAGGCAAACTTCACTAAAATGGGACGTATAACTCAAAAATATCTTAGCTTCTTGATAATATTTTCCAGTGATATTTGGGTTTTTTTATTCAATTATCATTTTTTCTTTCTTTTTTATTTTATTTTTTGAACTCAGGCATGAAGATGATAATGTGGGAAAATGAGCAGTACTTTGTGACCCTGGCGAATTTGTGGGCAAATTTGGTAAGCCATGATCCTCCTGAAGTGCCACATTTGCACATTGGTCGATGAGGGGAAACAAATAAGGAACGAGGTTCTTTCAGTCAGCATCGCATTGGGTTGAGATAC